AAGAATACAATGCTCTTCAACGTGACATACTAGGGGAAGAGTGACAAAATTAGTTAGAAAGGATGACGTCATTATATGCAAACTTGGTAAATTGGATCCAGGAAAGAATTGCCAAAATGGCAGCGTTGTAAAAGGATGAAGCTACCGTTCGTAATAAGTATAAGCATGAGTTTTATGATTCGATGAAAGAAATGGAGAAGCATCACTTTGCGCTTAAGGAAATTTTGAGTGGGTGGATACTTGAATAGTTTTTTAATTTCTTAACCTTTACAGAATTATGTGTAAAGAAACGGAATAACTGCAGTTTCCATACTTGACTTTCCCAAAGAATTGATAGTATGATCTCCCCTATGTTGATATTATTCATGCAATTGTTAAATCTAACAGCAGGCAGAGGGACTAAGTCGCAGAGAAAAAATCGGAAATAATAATCGAATTACGAAAGAACTATGATGGCACTGTCAAGTGTTGTAAAGCCACCGAACAGGCCGGGGTGGCTGCTAAAAAGGAAAAGAAAGAAAATAGACGGTGCTCTCTTGATGCTGCTGATATTTGTGTAATAAATACAAAGAAACTGCCACTGCTGTTGCTCTCTCTCTGTGTGCTGAGCACTGTGGTGGGGTTCCTTCCAGAGAGTGTTGGTAATCACTTGTTTACTGTTAATAATAATAATATTATAATTGCTGCTATGTTTTGATACATGGAGCACCGAGAAAATTAATCCCGATGACATCGACTGGAATGAGGTGGATCACGTTTTTGTGTGGAAATGCTTAATCTCTTTTCCTTTTTATACTTGTAAGCAGAGCATTGCTGTGCACCTTGTGGCGTGTCTCACTCTGCAATTGTGTGGTTCTGGTAAATGATATCTCTTTTCTTTTTTTTATTTGCTTTCACATTATTTCTGAGCGGGATAAAATATAATTTGTTTGTTACTATGGGGATACTAATTGTAATGGGGACAGGGAGAAACCAACACAGAGAGAGATTTATGCATTATCCGTTGTTTTTATTGCTTCTCTTTCTGTGTGTGTGTGTGGCTATCTCTGCAATGTTACCAAATGATGTTTTAATTCTTATATCTTTTCTTTTATTTGGGATTGGAATGGGACTTTATTTTGTTTGCATAATGAGTATTTTACCTTAATCTGTATCCACCTCCGTTATATTCATGCTTGACTCCATATATGTGTGTGTATGTGTGCGTGGAGTAATACTGGTGTACTGGTGCTTCTGTTTTCTCTTCCTTCTTTTTGTTTTTCCACACTCCCTGTATAGATCTTGCGACCTCAAGTGACAAGAAAGACAACAAGAACAAGAAGAAAAAGAAGAGCAATGATGATGCACCGTGTGATGTGTGTGTTGGCCGTTGTGCTGTGCTGTGCCTGCGGGTATACCATGGCGGCTGCTGCTGCTGTTGCTACTGATGGACAGCCAAAGGCGGTGATGGCGTTTGACAGTTTTGGTGATGGTGATGGTTCATCAAAAATACTTGAAGACCTCTATCCAGGTTCGTTACCAAAACCTAAAGATGGACACACAGATTCACCTCGAGGTGATCAAGGTCAGCTTGGTGAACCTGGTCCAGAGAGACAAAGAGTCGAAGGTGAACGAGAGGTGACTCTTCACACAACAGAGTCTCATCTTCCTGATGAATCTGCTAATGGTAAGGGTGAATATCTTGTTGTTACCTTCGAACCAATTACGCGAGCTACTTACGACAAGTACTGTAAGAAGAACTCTTCTTCTATTATTAACGGAAAAAATTGTTCGGTGTTGTTAAAATATCTGGAGGCAAAAGCTAAATTACCACCTTCGCCTCCTAAGGAAAGTAAAGATGCAGACGGGCACTCTAATGAAAGTGGGACTGGAAGTCACTCCGGTAGTGGAGGTGTTGCTGCAGGGAATGGTGAACCGCAAGCAGCTGAAGTGGTGCAAGGAAGTACAGGAACGGAAGGGAACGCAATTACAGCCACACCAGAAGGAAGTAATACTGCAGCTACAATGCAAAACCAAAATCATGAAACGACTGCAGCACCACAAACTGACAATGAAACGTCGAATACTGGAAACAGTGCGACTGCCGCAGCAACAACAACTCCATCTCCGTTACCCGACCCACAGATCAACAACACTCTTACAGAAGCACCAACCGCAACACCATCACCATCACCATCTCCTGTACCCAACGCAGAGATCAGCAATATCGCTTCCACTGTACAGAATAAGGCTAATGTTGACAGCAGTGTCAGTCCTGTGTGGATGCGCACTACAGCATCGCTGCTGATTGTGGGTGTGTTGGTCTCCGCTACCGTGTACTGAACGGTGGGACTCATATGAGGACAAATAATAATAATGGTTAAACTAACATAATCATAATTGCATACATCCCCCATGGGTGAATAAACTAATAATCTGTTTACCAGCTTTCTCTTTTAATTGAAATTTCTTTTCTTTTCACTTTTATGTGTGTGTGGTCTTTTTCTAATAATTCCATTACTTGCTTTTCCCGTTATGTGTGTTCAGAAAACTGGGCTGTTCTGCTCACTGACGGTATACATCTCTTGCTAGTACACCCAGATGTGTGTGCGCAGTAATTTAATGCTTAAACTAGAGCCATGGGGTATTGTGTGTGTTTGGCTCTCCATTATATGGGTATTGTGGGGTGTTCTCTTTTCCTTTTCTATTAAGGGATATATATTATCACTACAATCAGGCTATTCCTTTTTGTTGCTTTACTGTGCATTTGTTGCTTCTCTCTCTTTTTCCCTGTGAGTATTTGTTGTACTGCTTTATCTTTGTTTGTTTCTGTTTTTCTCTCCCTTCTTTGTTGTGCATTCCATTGAACTAAGACAGGTGCAACGATATCCACAATACCTGCAACCATTGGAATAATAATAATTATTATTATGCGCTACGTGCTGTGTATCCTCGCTCTCCTGCTCTCATGTGCGTGTGTGCACGTCCTCGCTGAAGAAGTGCCTGCCGCCGATCTTTCCGACCAAGTCCCTGATACGGAGAGTGAGACGAAGATTCTTCTTCAAGGTACTTGTTCTGATGGTACTTCTAAAGTTGATAACTCTTCTTGCTCAACTAATCCCACTACAAAGGAACTGGTTTCTGGTGAAGCTGATTCTGGTCTACATGGAAAATCTAAAGATACAAGTGAGAAGGCAAAAAAAGAATGTGCTACTAAAGGAGAAAAACAAAACTGCAAAGAACAAGCAGAGGTGGGGAATCTGGCACAACATGATGATGCAGGAGAAGAAGACACTGAAGGTCTTACTGTTACAGAACCTAAGGAACCAAACGAGGGTGATCCTGGGATAGACGAACAGCTTTCTACTCCCAAAAAACCTGAAGAAAAGGAGCCTGTAGGTCACGTTCGTGATAGAGCTGGTGCTCCTGCTGGTCCTACTGGTGATGGTGATATTCCAGCACCTGCCGAATCTGTTAAACCTGGAGGCAGTGATGTT